TTGATGATTTCTGTAGGGCTGGTCATGTGATGGTGAACTCCCACAGTTTTTCTTTGTCTAGAAAACACACTATTTCTCCCTTATTTCTGAAGGATAACCTTGCTGGGTATAAGTATTCTTGGCTGGCAGTTTTTTTCTTTTAGTATTTTGAATGTATTATCCCATTTTCTTTCTTCTGTTGAGAAGTCTGCTGTTAGTCTGATGGGCTTCCTTTGTAGGTGATTTGACACTTTTCTCTTGCAGCAACTTTTAAGATTCTCTCTTTGTCTTTGAGCTTTGCCAGTTTGACTGTAATGTGTCTTGGAGAGGATCTTTTTGGGTTGAATCTGTTTGGGGATCTTTGAGCCTCCTGGATCTTAAGGTCAATGTCTCTCCCTATACCTGATAAGTTTTCTGTTATTTCATTGAATAGGTTTTTCATGACTTTTCCTTTATGTCACTCCCTATACCTGATAAGTTTTCTGTTATTTCATTGAATAGGTTTTTCATGACTTTTCCTTTTTCTTCCCTTTCTGAAACACCTATGATTCAAATGTTTGTGTGCCTAAGGTTGTCTGCTAGCTCTCTTAGATTTTCTTCATTTTTTAAAATACTTTTTTCTTCTTTTTTTTGGTCTGACTGGGTTATTTCTAAAAGACTGTCTTTAAGATCAGAAATTCTTCTGCTTATTCTAGCCTGCTGCTTAAGCTGTCAGTTGTGTTTTTTATTTTGTTGAGTGAACCTTTCAGTTCCATGAGTTTTGCTACATTCTTTTTTAAGGTATTAATCTTTTTGTAAATTTCATCCTTCATATCCTGGATTTTTTTTCTCATTTCATTGTGTTGTCTGAGTCTTCCTGTTTCTCAGTGAGTTTCTTGAAGATTTGTTGCTTGGCATTCCTTTTCAGTCATTTAAAGGGTTTCCTTGTCTATAGGGTCTGGTATTTAGGAATTACTGTATTCATTTGATGGTGTCATATTTTCTTTGTTTTTTGTATTTCTATGTTGATGTCTGGTCATCTGGTAGAGCAGTTGCTTCTTCCATTACTCTGGAGTGGGCTTTGAGGAGGGAGACATCCTCTTTTTTTGGTCTTTGCTGCTGACTCTACTTGTGTCATTGCAGTTGAGTGGTGGGCCACCTGCACGATGGTTGTGGCTACTGCTGTGGCATTAAGCTGCTTTTGTGGCAGCTGTGGCTATTGCTATGGTTGTGGTGGGCCACCTGCATGGAAGTGGTGTTTTTGGCATGCTTTGTTTCTTGCCTGCTTCTAGGAGGGAGATGCTGCCCTTGGCTCCTGCCTCAGGATCCCAGGTGTGCTCTGTTTCTTGCCTGCTTCTGGGCAGTTGGGGCAGCCCTTGGCTTCTGCCAAAGAGATTATTCTTGATCACTTAAAAAGGCTGTTCTCTTTAGGTTTATACATGCAGCAAGAGTGTTGATTAACCATCTAGGCCGCCTTGAGTTTGCTTTTGCAATCTAGAGCCATACAGTATTGAACAGCTGCTAGGGTTGCAAAAAAGCTGTCCAGAAGATTTCATGAAGAATCTCTAATTGGACTTTTAAAAGCTTCTATTATTTGTTAATCTGAGGGTGGGGAAACATTTCCACCATATTTTTACCTGCAATACCTATAAGTCTAGGTGGATTCTTTTTTTTTTTTTTTTCCTTTTTGTCTTTTTTCGTGACCGGTAACGGGATCGCAAC